GGGGGGGTAAAAACCATGGAACGCGAAACGAGCTGGGAAAAGATATTTTTATATCCGTATCTTGTCTGGGTGGTCACCGGCGAACTGTATATATTTATTGCTTGGATTCTGAGCGCAAGACTAGATGAAGAATTAGGACTATAAACTAATTAGACAACATGTGTACCCTACGTTTATTGTTGACTGCCTAGGTATGACATGGCACCACTTACATTATGCAAAATCAACAGCAGCAACGAAACCAGGGCATACATTCTCACTCCTACTCGTACGCGTACAAGGCAGCGTTTGTCCCTCTTGCAAAGACTGCGGCCCCAAAACCACCTCTCGGGTTGATCACGGGCGCATCCGTCACCACACCACCAATAGATCGCCAGTCAGCCCACGAGTGGCCGTTGAACTCCTTGAGGTACACTGCGTTGTCGGTACCTTGGGCCGCTACCGTGATGTACTTGCCACCCCAGGCCGCTGCGGATGGCCGAGACACAATCCTCCCCCCGAGATCAATCCACGCGGTCCACGCGCCGCCGTTCCATGACTTCTGGTAGAGGGCGTTATCCGTGCCTCGAGCAAAGAGGTCAAGTCTGTTTGACGCGGTGGATACGGGCGTGACGTCGTCGACAATTACGCCGCCTTGGTTATACCAGCCTGACCAGGACGACCCGGTCCAGGAGTTCTGGTAGACGCCATTATCCGTGCCTTGGACGAACACATCAATACGGTTAGGCCCCCAGGACACTGCTTGCGGGTTGCCCACGATGACGCCGCCAAGGCTCACCCACGAGCTCCAGGAGCCGCCGTTCCAGCCCTTGTGGTGGACTGCGTTGTTCGTGCCGCGGACGAATAGGTCCAGTCTGTTGGGACCCCAGGAAACTGCGCTGATCTCGCCAATGGCAGTGCCGCCAAGGGACTCCCATCCGCCCCAGGAGCTGCCGTCCCACCACTTGTGGTATACGGCGTCGTCGGTACCCAGGACAAAGAGGTCAAGACGATTGGGGCCCCAGGAGACGGCGGTAACGTCGCCGTAGATGACACCGCCGAGGTTCTCGTAGCTTGTCTGGCTCGGGTTCCAGGGCGAGCCAGACTCTTCGTTTTGCCACTTGTGGTACACGGCATTGTTGGTTCCCCTGACAAAGACATCCGTCCGGTTGGCCGACCAAGACACAACGCCGGGGTGGCCTGCACAACGTCAGCTTGAATTGTAGCTCTCCTTACAGATCCGAGGCAACAACAGAACCGCCGGGGGAAAAGTTCAGAACTGCATACCTGAAAATAGACCGCCTAAAACTCTCCAAGACGGGGCCGCTGGCGCACGGATTTCTTTCTCGACAGCCCGGGCATTACACACTTGTGTAATGGCAAGTAGGGACAGACAGTGCAGGAGCGAATGCTTCAACATGTTGATATGGCTGATCAGCGAGTCAATTTCTGTGGTGGATGCCCATGAGGAAAGAAAGAGTCAGGACGGGCTCGCGGCCGTATTTATAGACGGTTGAAAACGACGACGCAGCGACGGACTTGCGAATAAACCCACGGCAAGCATTGACTCCAACCCATTGATTCTCTACCCCGCCTTCATCACGTTGAATTTTAAAAGACGTTTGTCGGTGCATCGTTCACGAACCAATGACTGCGAGATGACATGGCTGGGGTCTAGATCACCAACGAACCATCTTGCCATCATTGCATGCATCGACACCACCCCATCATCTGTTGAAATTTCAAGACACGGCCCCATGCAAGCACTTGTAGAGTTGTTGGATGCTACCCTCCTCGCACCAAAAGTCTATTCGTTGCGAAACATTCGCCCCTTTCCCGTACTACACGCAGGGTTCGGCACTATGTGAACCTGCAGCAGTCCGAATAAACTTTATTCGACCATGAATGCACGTCCGGCGCACGAGTTGCCAAATACGGCAACTCGCAGGCAGTTTCTTTGCGGCCCAGAAAAAGCCACAACGGTGCCTTGTGTTGCCGTCCCCGGGCCGTGGCGAATCATCGTCAGTTGGCGTTATAACAGCATGCATGGCGCAATCGATATTGCGACGCCGGCTTATTCTTGTGAGCCCATCGGCACTGTTTCTTGCAGAGCTGGTAAATGCCGGAATAAACGTGTCACACGGTCAAGTAACAGAAGTGGGATATACGGCGTGCTGTATGATGAGATGTGATGCTCCTCTCGTAATCCGCAGCAAACCCGTCACTTGCGATGTTGTATCCGGAACCATTGGCCCAACTGGTCATGCCCGAGAAAGCACCTCTCGTTTGTCTGCTCTTCGGGTATTGTGTCCGTGATTGTGAAGCATGTATGCCCGTTCTGGGGGTCTGTCGACATGTGATGGCTTCAGATACAGTTGTCTCTGATGTAGTCGACTAGGATTTGCAATTGACCCGGGAATTGCCTTTGAGCTTTACATGCCGCTGCTTGACTTGCAGCACAACTCTGTCCCTGTCTCTACATGTATGCAGTGTCGAACGAATGTATCTGGCACCAGGGCACATTCCACGTCTAGGGCGTGGACTATTCAAGCCTATACAAATGTGGCATGCCATCCAACCACAGCTTCTGCATAGCCATATTTGACGAATTGCCAACTGGCAACCCTGCTTAAACAAGAGCATGTTAGCGACCTTGCGTCAGGCCAGCTGTGACCAAGTGAGACCACCACGCGGGCCACGCCTAGACACATTGGCCGTCAATGGCCATTTTGACGCTGTGTCCCAGCACCGTCTAAATGTCGGTATTGAAAAAAGACTCGTCTCGTACTTGAGACAGAGGTCACTTGTGAATCCCACTGGCAGTCTCTAAGTGACAGCTCCGTCACAATCATGCCGATGTAACCGTACATGTGACAAAAAGAGCATGCTCTACTCCGTAATTTCAAAGCAATAACTCGCTGGTACCCTTTTATATTCCGGTGCAGTACTCCGTACAAGCTCAGGACAGCAGTGAGGCTGCACTCGGTTCGATACATACCCGTCTCTGACTAATTGGGCTGCCGAAATTAAAAAAAAAAAGATAAGACACTGTCTTGGTGGGTTTGATCCCAATGCCGACCTAAACCACCCTTGTGATAGTCTATTATGACCGCGGCCCGACAGACAATTTTGTTGCGCGACAGATATCACCAGATCGGGTCCAGTGTTGTTTCCTTGTTTCAATAATTAGAAAGCACATATTGGATAGAAAGGAGAACACACCTGAAAAGAATGGAAAATACCGAGAGGTACGACATCTTCTCCGTCGCCTACAAAAACCAAGTTGGTCTCTGCCGGCAGCCCGCCTTCTCTCAAAGAAATTCACTGCCATTTCTGTAATCAGAGCTTCAGCCGCAGCGTAATAGTCCAAGCAGCCCCTTTCACAACCCGAGACAGAGTGCCATCACGACATCAGCTGAAGCCATGACCGACCAGGCCCAGATGTAGGCGTGCTTCGCGAGAAGAAGAGAGACATATCCCGAATGGCCATCTCATGCGAGCAGTCCCCGGCGCCCGCACCAGGGTCATTGAAGTTCAGAGCAAAGCCGGGATCGTCGGCGGGCGTCTCTGCAATCCCCGCACCAGCAATGGGAGGGCATATTGCTGAACCGGACATTGATAACCTAGTCAATAATCTTGATTGTCTCGGCGAAAAACCACGCAGTCGCCGCAGCCACTCTTCCCCTGCCTGCCCTTGTCAACGTTGACCTTGAACTTGATGGATTTGCCGCTCTTGGCGATACCCTTCCGTCGCTCAAACGGCGAGGCGGATGATGCGGCCTGTGTGATCCTGTTAGGCATACTCTCTTCTCCAGCAGCATGGTTACTAGGTCCGATGCCACCGTGAGCCCTTGCCAAAGGTGTAAGCAAAACTGCCCTACCGAGGGCCGCATGCAGGGCAAATTACCAGTGGCTCTCCGGATTTCCTGTCTGGCCAAGCCGCTTCTCCGGACCGTCAGCCGCACTCCGGAGACACCCATGGATTGATTGGCCAGCTCTGTGAAACCACGCTTCATTACTGCCTGATTCGGCATGGCTTGTTGCTCAGCCCTGGATGGCCGCGTACAAGTCCCATCTCTTGGCAACCACGAAACAGCGGCGTGCCAAAAATTCCACGCTTCTCGGCAGCTTTCTGAGCATGTATACACTTGAGCTCCGGTACCACGATGGCGCCGTCAAAACAAGCCGTCGGGCACTTGGACAAGAGAAAGGCGCTCACGAGATGCCAGCCATGCGCCAAGCGAAGGATCAAGGTGAGTTGCCGGCGCTGCCGAAATGATGTCTTCCCTCAATCACCTCCAGCTTCCACCGCCACTGACAGATGCCGGCGACAAGTGCCAGGGCGGTTCCCCGTGTGATCATTGTACTCGAACGGGCAAGACATGTGAGCCACAAACGCCCACAACACCGCGGGCTTCTTTCCAGTTTGTTGCCTACGAGGCAACCAGGCGCACAACACCAAAACTGGCACTCCCCGCCACTGTAAACAATGACAGAGAGAGCACATATCTGGGCCATTTTGTCGCCGTCATTCGTAATTGTCAATTCACGGCTCGTTTTCCACTGGTGGCAACGGCGCTGCTCCCCGTGATGAGTGGAAATAGCCACCTTTCACATGTGGCAATTGCAATAGGTGCCCTGGATGCTCATCGACGAGCGCAGGTCGGCGCAAGTCGTGACTATCCATCGCCGCGCATCGTTGCATTCACAAGGTACCAGCGCGCCTTGGCCAGCCTGCAAGATGAGCTCGGTTCGAGTAATGCGCCGCAGCGAGACGATGTGCTCTGGACGACCTTTCTCCTGGGGCTGTTTGAGGTACATTCTGACTCTATTGCACCGACCAAAGTCGGCTAACTTGGTTATATAGCTCATGGCAGAACCAAGCGGTGACCGATGGGCGAGACACATGCTCTACGGCACAGGAAGAATGCTGCAGCTGGCGAATATGGGCCGTGGCCCCTCTCCTCTAAAACAAATGCTCTTCGACGCGTTCCAGATCCTAGAGGCCAACAGGGCAATCATGTACGGAGTGGAAACTTTTCTATCCGAGCACAGGTGGGCCGTGGTCAGAAAGACACTGCTCTTGCATGCTGGCCAAATTGCCGGACGCCCGATGGATGACATGATTACTCTCATGCTGTACACCGCATCCTTCAGTCAGAGGTATGTAGAGACCATGGACAGATTAGATGCAGCTCCAGTTGACTTTTGCAGCTTCTTTGAACGAATCCAGCAGATTCCAGAGCCGGAGCGTTGTGCTCATCCAAGCATCCAGGGGCTGGGCCTGCAAGGCATCCATGTCCAAGACCTGCTCAACAAGTGGTACTTGCAGCACGGATCGACTTTGAATGCCACGAGTACAGCGCATGAGTGCCGATTAGCACTGATTTACTACCACACACTCATGTTGTTCTTGTCGCGGAATTACACGTACTACTCCTGCTGGGCGGGCAAGGCGACTCCCCTGCTAAGCCGCTCGGCAATTTCTGACCACACGAGAAGCATTGCCACTCTGATTGACCGGTTGCTGCAGTCGTCCAATGTGCCCGGCGTCATGTTGCTGTTCCCATTGCGAGTAGTCGGTTCCCTGCTCACTGAGACAGACGCAAGGTTAAAGGTCGTGGCGCAGCTCGACACAATATACTGGAAAGGATACGTCGTGGCAGACAGGGTCAAGGTAGATTTGAATATTCTTTGGGCATTCAGTGGCCTGCAGGGGTGCTGAGTGAGAGCTGCAAGGCAAGCGCGTGTAGTGTTGTCCTCGTTAATACCAGTCAGAGTTCGGAGTGCAATCTCGAGCTTGGAAGCTCCGTTATCAGCATACTCCCGCCGGCTTCATTTGAAGCCAAGCCAGGCTTGATGTCGAGAAAAACAAGTCTCGGCTCTGAGACAGCAACTGCCTCAGTCCACGATCTTATTGATCTGTAGCCTATGACTTCTGTCAGCCAGCATACCATGCAAATAATATGAACTGGGACGTAGACGTTGGCCCCAGGAACGACAAAAAAGAGTGCGGCAGATGTTGTCCACCTGGGTGAACCAAGTCTACCGGAAACGGTACGGAAGCGAGGCCTTCGCCTGAATACAGGAGTAAAGGAGCGGCCTGGGGCAAGAGGACTGGACCCGGTGATTTGTATATCCCATACTGAGAAGAGACACGGATGGTAGTCTGAAATCGCAGGTTTTGGTTGCTGCTTGCAATACTAAGGATTTGTCTTGTCCGCCCGAGAGAGGCATGTGCTGCTTCGACTCATGCAAAAGGGATATGAGGTGTCGACGGCAAAATATCCTTGGGCAACAAGTCCGGGTCTGCTCTGGGCACCTCTGTCTCCATTGTGACTCCATCATGAGTTGGGAGCACGAAAGTGTCCTTTAGCGGTGAGACGTTGGCTGCCCATTCAGGGATCTTTTCCGGCGGAGATGGTCGTGGACGTTCCCATCAGTCTCCTCTTACTCTAGGGTGATCAGGAAGGGGTCATCTCGCCTGAGGCCTGGCTTGACTCTTTGGTTGAAGGATCGCGCGAGGTACGTATCCTGCGCGGAAGGCATATCGCTCCTGGTCGTCTTCTCACGTCAACCGCCTATGCACGTTGTCTTCAGAAGGCTTCGAGGGCATTTCGATATTCAAAAACCCGATCCAGGATAACAAACTCATGCAACCCGTAAACAACAGAGTTTTGCGAGTCCTCGAAGCAGCCTTGAGGACCGAATTTTGTCGCCGCGATTGAACAATATTGAGCTGAATACTGCATGACGACACTCGGCGCGTGGAGAGAAATCGGGATAGTCTTCGGGAGACGGCTAGATTTGGAAACTTGAGTGTCGTCGTGGACAGAGATCTTGTCAAGGGTGAGAAAAGAAGTCGGCGCAGAACCGCTGTGAGAGGAAAAAAGTCACGTGCGCTCAATTGCACCTCGACAAACCACCCAACAACCAACGCTCTTTTGCGCAGCGTATTCGGTAGAGTGCGGTGGCTGGTTGCTAAGAAACTCGGTTCTACTGATTTTCTTGCTCGCATTACCAAAGCATTTGATTCTAAACGACATGCGAGTGGAGCTATCAATGTAATAATACAGCCGAAAGTCTGGTTTCCCGCCTTTTTCCCTAGACGCGCTTGACCCAGGGGTGCATTGTTCTCCTCGGCACCATGATTTCTCCTTGTCTGATTTATTAGCAAAATTCCAAATAAAACCACCACATACAATCTTCCATATCAAGTCTGTTCCGCGACAACACCACCAAAACCGTACACCCAGGCACGCTGTAAACTCCCACTCCAGCAAATCCCCTCGCAGCCCTCAAACGTCCCCTTCCCGACGCGCGTGTTGAAAAACGAGGTAGTCACCCTATTTCTCTCGTTGGGAGCAAAGTAATCATAGCCCTGCACAACATGACACCCATCCACGTAAACCGTCACCGGAATAGCGCCCTGGTACAAAATGCTCCACTATGAGCAGAAATCCATCAGTCACGGCACAAAAGCAAACAGCCAGAGGTATGAGTGGCAGCGGAAACATACCGAAGCAACTCTCCCCGGAACAAAATCCCGCTCAACCAACCCCGAAAACACAGCGCCGGCCTTGGCGAGAAAATCGGCACTGATGAGGGGATAGTTGGTGTTTACGTAGCCCCTCCACACTTGAGGGTGGGTAAAATCTGTAAACACCGAGGTGAGCGTGTTGTCGACAAGACCGTCCTCGGTGACGTTGGCAAAGTTGAAAATGGATGTGGCGAGGCCGTCTTCAAAGGTTTCGTCGACGCGGACGAGGTTCTTGGCGGGCGAATTGTACATGTAGCCCGTCTGGATGTGGGAGAGGTTCTGGTTCCTGGGGCAGAAAGGGTTAGAGCTAGCCACGGCTTCTTTTGCATGGAATTCGAGGCGGGAGACTACCATTTGTGCTGTACAAAGTGTGTCTGGAACTCTGGCCTGACCGCCGGTGGCGTGGGCTGCTTGAAACTAGAAGAGTATTCCACGACCGAGGGGGGAAAGGACGGGCAATTGGCCGCCGCGGCAGTGGCCGATAGAAGAAGGACGATGTTGGCAATATACATGGTGATGGTGTTGACTCCCAAGTTGTTAGGGAATGAAATGGTGAGCAGATGTACTCGAGTGCCATGTCCATACCTTATATACATGCTCAGTCTACAAAATCCATCATGACATCGCGTGTGCTTGCGTGTTCATCTCTGGAGTCGGTCCGGCGCGTTCAAACACTTCCATGTTGAGCAGCATGTCAATGGTCTGCAAGGCAACGCATTCTAGGCCCCGTATCTGCAAGCCACCGGAGGAGAGCGTTCGATTGCTTCCTAAACAGGCAAGTGGGTCTCGGTGGCATGGACGCCGGTAGCCCCGGGTTCATTCAAGTTTGGAGTAGGAGCCGGTCCAGGGCCGGTTCATCTGCTGCGCAAAGATCTTATAAAAGATGATTTTGTTTCATTGCATTCAATCCGAGCTTCTCATCTTGCGTATACTTGTCTTGCAATGTAGACATGGTCGCTCGATATTACGGGTTTGAAAAACGAAGGCTACCCTAGATCGGACCGGGCTCGACTTGGGACCGCCGGAGATGGACATTAGGCGGCTATAGATGGAAAATGGATGACAAAGCGGGCTAAAGCGGAACAAATCGAGGGTCCGTATTGCAAATATTCGTTGCATGTTGTACGGCAACTGCTGGTAAGGGAGCTAGAAAGCATCTGGTTTAAGTCCGTTATAGTCACTGCCAACTTGGCTCCTAGGCCTCCCCTTGAGCATGCCGTGCCCGCTGATACGGCGAGGCGCAACACCCCCCAGTCTTGGTACACAGGGCATGGGACGGGCGAGGAGGTGTTGGAGGAGAAAGTGGCCCACTCACTTGTGGACTACTTTAGACGAACTTGGTGATAGAATGTGTAGGCAAGGAACGAGTCAGATGCAAGCAACTTGCCGACGCCTCCGTGAATTCCACATTGACTACAATATATGCAGGGTTGTGGGATGCTAGATAAGTCAACCCGAAACGAAACAGGCATGCTAATAATATCAAGTAGTTTATGCAAACTCATACCTGTGGCCCACCTAAGTGTGAGAGTACGTCAAATCAAACGAGATTGAACTTGGCATAGGCATTCTTGGTACGCAATGTAACGGTCCCAGCTGAGTACAAAACAATCTGTAAGTTTAGCCATGAGTGACTTGACAAGGAAGTTAATGGGGGTTATTTTTGATCAGCTTTAGCCCCTCTCATTATATCACACCTGGATCAGCATTCAGGGTCTGAACTGTATATTGACAACTAGCTAGGCGACTACTACGAGTATCTAAACGCCAAAGAAGAAAGAAAAGGTGAAAAAGAAGAAAGAAGGGGTCGAGAAGCTCTTGAGCTCCTGAGCTTGACACGTGGTTAATCTCGCTTATGGATGGGTCCTAGACGGGGCCCAGGGCCGGGGTCGAAGGCGAGAGTGCAAGTCGAGCCATATCGTGCTCGGCCCGTACAAGAATAGCATGCGAAATCGCCGGGCTCTGCTCCAACATAAATAGCTTCACACCACGCGGCTATTATCAGATACAACAGGACAAGTAGCAGCAGAGATGGCCTCGGGCGAGCCAATTGCCGATGTGTACATCTGTTATTGAAAGCTGAACGGAGTGAAGTCGTCTGGTTTAATTTTGCCGATTTTTATACCCGGCTTAGGCCCCTGCAAATCCCAGTCGGGTTGTCACGGGAAAACAAGGGCCAGGCACCTTTTTGACTCAGTATTAACCTACCTAGGTATGCAGGACCCCCACCAGACTTACGGCAGTTAATATACGAGCCGTACAGAGTAGACTAGCCCGATTTGGCTTGGTGCCGAGCTATCCGGACTTTGCCTTGTAACCTCAAGTGCTTGTTATAACCGATGGCAGCCTGATTGCTTTTCTTGATGGAGGCAGGCGAGCATAGTATAGTTCGCGGTATTTCGCTATAGTGCCAAGGCGTGATGTGTCAATTCACATGTGCACTCTGCTCCTAACCTGATGATTCAGCTGTCCAAATAATGCCATTTGCGTTGTTCATTATCCGCAGGACATTGTAGTTGTGGGGCTTGTTTTGTAAAGAGTCAAGTTTGGTTACAGTCTAACATTGAACCCCTGCAAGTTTAGCTAGCAGGAGCCTCTCGTGGAGCTAACAGGGGCTAAGAGCCTAATAACACGTTGTTAAGTAGGCTTAAAAGTACATATAATTTAGTGTAATTTACACGTAAAAAAAGTATAATACTATTTTACTAATATTAAATTTACTTGATAAGAATACAAAAAAACTTAAATAACATGAAAATATTATATTATAAAAAGTTAATATATTTAATATTTATAATATTTATATTTTTATTCTTTTTTTATTCAAGGTTATTTATGCAATAAAGATATTTCAAAAGCAGCTATTAGTACGTGACTAGATAATCCTACCAGGTAATGTCACACTAGGCTAGACATTCAGGGGTTATATTGTATGGCACGGGTTACCGTATCCATATGTCTATCCCGGTTGCATTTCTTGACATTTAGAGCGAGGGGCTTCGGAAGCCCCGGGAGACCAAAGTAGCCAGTATACGAAATTTGATGTATGTATTTATATATATATGTGTGTGTGTGTGTGTAGACAACTCACAGCCCAAGAGCTTTGTTTTGCATACAAGCAGTGCAACAAGCTGTAAACAGTGACTTCTGCCGCTGCCGGATGAATGTTCAAGTTCTCCGACAAAAACACTTCGTACCATGCGGCCATTGTCATTACTTGCTGTCGCGGCACTGGCAGCAGCGCCCTCCGTCGCTGCCAATGCTCCCTCGGGCAAAGTAGTGCCTGGAGCATACTTTATTGAACTTGATGCGAGCACTGTACGTTCTTTTCCCATGGCAGCTTTCCAGCCAAATGACTAATGAACAAACACAGAATGTGATTGCCTTTGGAGAACAAGTAAAGGCAGAAGCCAATGCTCGCATTCGTCGTCAGATAGACTACGTGCCGAACAAGGCAAAGAGAGCAGATGCGCCTGTACGGGCAAAAGGAGCAGACGAGCCGTACAAGGCCGTCTCGATCGACTTGTCCGATGAAAGCATGATTGACAAGGTGGCAGCGATGCCCAATGTTGCCAAAGTATACCCGATCGAGCTGCTTCCCTTTGATGGATCATCCCCCACGCACGCCACGCAGCAGTCGTTTGCCGGTGAGAAGGGCCAAAGCCTAGTAGAGCGGCAGGCTCTGCCTGGAAAAAATGCAGCAGCAGACACATACGCGCCTCATGTCATGACGCAGGTTGACAAACTTCGCGACAAGGGAATAACGGGCAAGGGAGTCAAGATTGCCTTGCTTGACTCGGGTGTAAGTGGCTCTCTGTTATTTGGGATTCTTAATCAACTAATATAGTATTTGTAGATTGACTACGAACACCCAGCACTAGGGGGTTGTTTTGGTCCTGGATGTCTCGTCTCCTTTGGCGCCGACCTGCTCAAGAACGAACCAACGCCAAAAGATTGTAATGGTCACGGAACTCAGGTCGCCGGCATCATCGCTGCAAAACCTAACCCACTGGGCTTTACCGGGGCCGCGCCTGGCGTTCAGTTAGGCATGTATCGCGTAGCCTGCAACGAGGTGCTTCCTAGCGACATTCTTGTTGAGGCAATCCATCTCGCCCTCAAAGAAGGTGTGGACATCATCTCGTCATCAGTAGGGAATCCAGGCGGTTGGCCAGACAGTCTCCTATCAAAGACGGCAATGCGAGCTGTGGACCAAGGTGTCGTATTCGTGCAAGGGGCAGGCAACGATGGTGAGGGCGGTTTATTTTCAAACCTGGACCCTGCTGTTAGTCCTGGTGTTATTAGCGTCGGAATGATGCAAAACAGCGTGGTTCCCAGCCTCCTTAACGCGTCCAAGTATACTATTGATAACGAGCCCGAAGTTGCCTTCCCCTTCTATCCGACAAGGCCGTACGGAGACTTTACTGGCAGCCCTATGGAGGTCTACGCCCCGAGCGTGGCCGGATCTAGTGCTGCTGCTAGCGAAGATGTGCACGCCTGTGGACCATTCCAGGACAACACACCGGATTTAAGCGATAAGCTCGTCCTTATGCGTGTTACCAGAGATGAAGGGGAGTGCAATTTCCAGGTTAGAATTAAAGCGGCTCGTGAAAAGGGGGCCAAGAGCTTTATAATATACCTGAAAGACCAAAAGGCTAGGGGGGTAGACTTGCCAACCCTAGCGGACGGGGTTGTCGCCGTGGGATTCCTAGACTCTGACGTCGCAACATCAATGCTCGAGGCTATCAAGGCTGGCCGCAAGGTCGTCGTCACGGCCTTCCCAAGTCAGGGGAACGTGCCGTTGCTCTATCGTGAGCAGCCGAATCGCAACGCGGGAGCTGTGTCAGCTCTCAGTTCCTGGGGTCCGTCTTGGAATCTAGGTCTTAAGCCTTCTTTGGCCGCCATTGGTGAACAGGTGGTAACGACGTCTTGGAGGGTTGGGAATGCAAGTGGCTATGGAATCAGACGAGGAACTTCTTCTTCAGCCCCTCTAATAGCTGGGATTGTCGCTCTAATTATTGAGGCCCGTCGCTCCAAGACTGCCGGCTCCCTTGGCCCAGTCGATATCCAAAACCTTCTCGTGTCACACTCGCACCCGCAGCTTTACCACGACGGAAAAAACTTTCTCTCCTATCTCGCTCCAGTTGCCCAGCAAGGTGGCGGCTTAGTGCGTGCCTATGACGCTGCCAATGCCATGACACTTGTTGCGCCTGCAAGCCTTAATTTCAACGATACAGAACATCGAGTTCCCTCACTCAGCTTCACTCTCAAGAACGTGGGTCAGGTAGGCGTGACTTATAGTCTTTCTCACGTTCCTGCCATTACAGTGTATGCTTTCACGCAGGATGGTATGGTTTCTGCTCCCAAAAATATTGACAGAGTCGAGGCTCCGGCTGCTTTGACACTGAGAGAAACAACCGTTACCGTAGCCCCGGGATCTTCCGCCACCGTTCACGTCTCGGCGTCGGCCCCTGATGGCCTTGAAACGGGCCGGCTACCCATATGGTCCGGTTGGATTGCGGTGAACGGGTCCGATGGCAGTTCCCTTTCCCTTCCCTACCAGGGGGTTTCCGGCTCGATTCGGCAGCACCAGGTCTTGCCACCGAATGGCATGTCGCTCTTCTATCAAAATATCCCCATAAGCGAGAGCCCCAACGTTAAGCTGCCACCGCAGGGCTCTGTCGAGGCATCCAATCTCATGTTCAACATCAGTGCGACACTGGGGGTCCCTCTCTTGCGTGCTGAAGCTGTGCCTTTGGGTCCTGATAACACTCCCGCCGCGGAATCACTTGGCCAGCTTCAAGGCTTTCCAGTCCGGTGGCTCCCAAACAACTTGGAGGGAACTAATCCCGACTTGCTTCGGCTCGTCCAGTTCAGATGGAACGGCAAGCTCGACTCGGGCAATTATGCTCCCGAGGGCTCCTACAAGCTGGTCGTGCGAGCCTTGAGAATCTTTGGCAATCCGGACAATAAGGAGGACTGGGATGTAAGGGAGTCGCCACGGTTTAGCATCACTTACTAGTGTAAGGGTTCGAGCCGAGTGTATCGACAACCAGCTAGACGACTACTGCGGGTATCCAAGGGTGAAAGAGGCAAAGAACAAGAAGGAGAGCTCGACGCAGCTAGTCTCGGTTGCGAATAGGCTCAGCCCGCTACCGGTGGCGTGGCCAACATCCAAAGCTGTGAATTCGATCTAGATTAACCGGTCAATATATTGATATACTCATTCCAAGGACAGTGGACCCTTCCGGGACATGGGATGCCAGCCTTATTTGTCAATCTGGAATGGCGAAAATCGGTCCCAAAGGCTGCGACCACCAGCCATGTGCATTTTGACCGTCCATGTGGCCCGACAGCCACGCATAGTCGCGAAACCATGAGCGTAGAGACCCAATTCCTCCAATGCTTGTTCAAAAGAATCAATATGTCTCTTGCGACCTTGGTCTACCATTTGTTTGTGTCTGGTTTGCATCCCCCAAGTCACGAACCTGACGCGTTTGGGACTCGCGCGACACCAAGATCCAATCAGCGTCCAGTGTTTGCTGAATCACGCAACGCCGCCTTGACGCTTGGCGAGTCTTTTGTCTTCGGGAGGGACCGCGCAAACATGCAAACTGCATGAATGATGTGGACGAGGGCCACGGTGTGCATTGAAAGACGGGTGGCACGGCAAACATGATTCGGCGGCATCATGCTCGACGGCTTCATGCAAGAAGCGCGGCTGTCTGGGGACGTGGCTCTTTTGGATTAGAGGCACACGGAATATCAGATGTTTCCTTGGCACGGTTGGCCTCTGGGCACATTGCTCAACAAGTGTTCGTAGTACTAGTGCCTCTTGATGTGAAGTGCGAGCGCGCCGAGCTTGACACATGACGTGGCGTAAATCACGTCGCCCGTTGAGGAATATCTTGCGGCGCACCATCTGGGATTGTTAGATTGCATTGTACGCATGCACCACCAAAACTTGGATGTTTGTAATCTGGGGAACCCCGGCCGACTCTGGAGAGAACCAATATGACCGTCTTGCACTCCTTCACGATCCTGGGCCCTGCATCTGGTATCTTGCATGTCAAGTTTGAGCCGAGCTAGGCGGATCAGGGTCCGTTAGCCATCACCCATACGAGGCATCTTTCCCCGGGCTATGAGAAGCAGATTGGACATGAGAAAACCCTGAATATTGGTCGCACACGAAACAAATACTCGACGGATTGGATACATTATAGTCCCAGCAATTTCTCTGCCGGTCACAAAGCACAACTTGATTTCTCCTGTCCGGGTCGCGGATAGAATATAAAGTCCAATATTAGACCCCTAATTGCAATTGTTCCTATTGATCGTGTCTCAGGTTTTTTTTTTTCTGCGCCAGCACTTCAAAACAGGAGTCAACGGGGTTGGATGCGCCGAGGCAGCGACGGCGCTAATCCATATTCGGACAAGTGCAAAGGGTCCGCTTCGACGGCTGCCGCTGTTCCCAACCTCCAGCAGGACGCCAGGGCTGGTTAATTCCCGCCTGGTGCCTGGCCCTCCAGGTCAAGGGGCACATGGACCGACTTGGCGCTGCAGACTCTGCAGACGGTGCTGGCACCAATTACTCCTCGCCTCAATCGGCTCTTGTTTCCAGCCACCGCTGCGCACTTTGCGCTCTCAGCACCGTGGTGCTCGCTGTGCCCACTGACCACATGCCTACACGCACCAAGTCGCTCCTTCTCCGCCCCAGCCTTTTCTTGCTTGGCCCTCCCATTCCTCTCCCTTCATCCCCCTCTGCTCCGTCATATTGGCTGACGCATCGCCAATCCTGCCATCGCTTCTCATCTCTGCCCGCACACGCCACACAAAACCCTCAACACCAAAAACTCTTTTGCTCAGCTCTTGTCGACAGCTGCTGCCCCGACCAGCGCCCATTGACGACTCCGGATCATCCCAACTGGTGCCCGTTCGCCACCTTCGTAGCTTCGACCATCCGACGACAAAGCGTGACCTGCGACCGTTCAACCTTCTCCACCCTCCCTCCGCACCACTTTGCACGACAACTGCCAGCTGCGACCATTGCGACGACTCGGGAAAAGGGGGCCAAACACACACCGACAAACCCTGCGAGGCGTCAATCCTCCGTCTGTGCTTCTCGCACCGATTGCTTGCAATCGACGAGACTGCCACAACGCGACCAACCTAGTGCTGTGGACGACTATGAGTTCGCCTAATTGACACCCAAGCTGTGGGCGACGTCGCACATCACGAAACACGCACCGAAACACCAACAGCTGAGCTGCTGCTGGCTGGGTGCTGTCCGGCAACAAGCACAAATCTTCAAAACAACAGCACGTCCCCAGCCCGCATCGCTGCCGGGCATGGAGACATTACGATTAAAACCGCGGCAGCCCGTGGGGGATGAGATTGAGAACTGGGATGACGATGATGACCTGGTGCTTGAGGGTGATGAGCTGTCATTTCGCACCTCCTTGACGACCGCGGCTGGTCCCACCAACTCCCGCGCCTTGTCACGGCCTCCGTCCAGGCGGCGGGATTCTACGTCTTCTCATGTCTCTTTCCGGTCTGAGATAGAGTCCTGGCACGGCGAGGAAAAGCAATTGCATCTGCCTGCCGATGACGAATCCTCCACCATGGACGCCATTGCTGCCGCAGAGCATGCTGGCATTCCTCTGCCCAAAAACGTCCCTTCGTCTGCCCTCATGGGCGGCACCATTAAGCGACTTGGGGGTCGCAAAATCCGCAAGATTATCCAGGACGACTGGGAAAACGACCTCGAGCTCCCGGAAGCCTCGCAGAGCTTCAGCATAAGACCAAAGACTGACGTCGAGTTTCCCGAAACGCTGCGCCAGGTGAGCGCGGGCTCGGTGCAGGCCAGTCCCATCCGAACCATGAAGCTGCCATCATTTCCCGAGCCACAGCGCAGGCTCTCGGCACAGTCAAACACGAGCGCGCTCTCATCCGCTCTCAATTTGGACAGGTTCAAGGACACGGAAGAAGATGACGACTTTTTGGGGGACGGCATTGCTACCATCAAAGTCTCCAAGGGCAGAATTGCTCCGCAGCCCGTTCCCTTCATTACACCTCCCACGCCGCAAAAATCAGAAACAGCCAAGGAACCCGACGACGACTTTGAAAAGGACTTGGAGTTGCCCTCTGACGGAAAGTTGAAACTGTCTACTAGGAGAGATATTCCAAAGACGCCGTCGTCCAACGTCGACGACCTGGACTGGGGCGAGGGCAGTCTCGGCACTCGATACGGCGGTACTAGGCGAGATGGCCGTTCAAACAGGAGCTCTTCGGCCTCTGCACTCAGCCCCAGCATCTCGAGCTCCATCACTGCCGAGAGCGAGGACGAGACGTTTGAAGGTCTTGTCCTGCCCGCTGGGCCGTTTAATTTCAAGGAGCGTCTCCAACAGCGCAAGAAGAGCTTCTCGCCAGAGCGTATCCCGGAAGAGTTGCCGTCGCCGCTTCCACCAGCCCCCAAGAAGCCGCCGCCTACCCAGGCCGAGGCTGACCGCGAGGATTTCTTTGACGATCTCGACATTGGAGACGGAAACGTGTTTGGCCCCGGAAAACTGACCCTGCATCGCAACGTCAAGGTCAAGGAGACGCAGCCTGCGTCCCCTGCGCGGCCCAAGACTGCCGTGTCGCTGACGTTTACGAACAAGCCAACAACACAGACCAGAATCCCTCGCTTGAGCCATGAACGGGCCCATTCGACGTCACTGGAGCCAGTTTATGAATCTGGCGGTTCAGCGGCTCCCTCGCGCAGTGGTCGCCGTTCCCAGTCTCGTCTTGGACACTCACACCAGTCGTCGGTTGTCAGTCTTCCCACCCCGACGACAACCTCTCCCGGACGACATTTTCCCCTTTCCGCACCGCGAGGGCGAGAAGTTGGCTCAAGATCATCATTCTCGTCTCTCAGAGGTGACGCACCGACCACCAGTTCTCAGCTGCTGAAGCAGAAGCGATCTCTCCCGGCGGTTCGGAGTTCGACAACCACCGCACCAAGACCCGTGTCTCAGAGATCAGCAACAGACAGACCGCCGTCAAGGGCCGAGGCGGGACGACCTCAAACTGGGTTGAGGCCCAAGACACCCGTGGAGCGGCAGCGCCCGGGCCTCGTCACCGAAAGTCCTGCGTCGTTGACGCGGAAACCTCAACCCTTCTTGCCGGCCGGTGCGTCGCAGTCTCAGTCGCACCACGTCGCTTCAAAGACGTTGCGCCAGTTCCGACGCCACGACTCGGAGAATGCAATCGATCTGCGACCCATCTCCAGGGCCTTCTCCCGGTCGGGGGGCCGATCGCCCAGTCCGCACCGATACAAGGTTGCCGCCGATACCTGGGAGCGCCTGAGCAAGCCAAAGAACAAGAAGCACTTTGGCGATGGTCATGAGCTCGACGGCTTTGATGACTTGCCAACGTCGCGAGAGACGGAGACGCGATTCATGAAGCAGCCTGTGGCCAGCGGCACCAAGACCACCATTCGAAATCGGCTGTACCAGAATATTCTGCCCGACAGGACCGCGACGCCGGCGCCGCCGAGTCCGTTTTTCCCGTCAAGATCCGCGGCAACTCCCCGATTCGCGCGCGACACGGCCGCAAGTCGCATTGCCCGAGAGACGTCTCTGGCTCACCGTGCGCCAAGCCACGGTCCTCTGTCTGCCATAACCGCTCAGCGAGAGGGCGGTGGTGGTGGTGCGCTCGCGTCGAGGACGACCAACGTGAGCCAGCAGCCCCATCTACCCCAGTCAACCATTCGCTCCAAAAAAAAGACCAAGCGGCCGCAGCAGCTGAAGCCACATCTCATTGCCAACCTCAACGCCGGCAAGGAGTCCAAGGTCGTGAACGGCATGTTTTACAACGCCGAGACGTTCCGCTGGGAAGGCAATGAGAATGCGCTGAGTGCGTTCGATGCCACAGTGGCCACCCCGTCAACCACAACTGCGTCCACGCACGTCACGCGTGAAAGGGAGGCAACTACTCCTCGACCTGCGCTGATTGCCAATTTCAGTGCGACCAAGGGCGTCCAAGTTGTTGGCGGCATGGTCTTTGATCCAGAAAACATGTGCTGGCTCAGGATGGGGCAACAGGACAAGACCAAGTCCGACGCGGGCGATACTCTGGATGGCTTTGATGCACTCGACGACGAGGAAGATGTGTTCAAGGACATTCCCGACCTGGACGATAATGCCGCAGAAGAAGACCGCGGAGAGGGCGGCCGCGTCAGCGACGTCAAGGACGACTGGCTCGTGGGCGAAGAGTTTGATGTCGGCCCCGAGTTTGTCAGGAGACAGCGTGAAGAGGAAGAACGATGGCGAAAGAAGTGCGAGAAGTGGGTTGGCCGCGGGCCTCGAGATCAGGACATGTGGCGCTGGACGATTCGGGAACTCGTCTCTCAGTTCGACGAGCTACCCATGTAGACAATACAACATCCACCATGGCGATTGTTATCATTTCAGGCATGTCGGCTGCTTGGAGCACAGTACCCCCGGGATTACAGGACAGGAAAAAGGGCGTCGAGTTGGGCCAATTTTGAAGTTGGGCGGACAGCATCGTATCTGCTTGGTGGTGGACGGAAGCCTGTGTACCAAAAGGGGCACTTGTTTTGCCTGGCTGTTGTTTTATCCTCATTGCGAAAAGAAGAATGGGGGCGGGTTAAGACGGGTTGTTGTTTCTTATTCTGGGCAATAGACAAAAAGGATCTGGTGGCCATGCATGGGAGGATTCGAGCGATGTGAGTCGCGGCGCTGTGGCCTTTTTTTTTCCCTTCTGATGACCGAGATGACGGATTATGATGCCTGATGAACTATCTGCATTGGTAGCATGCTGTGGATTAATACATTATTGGTTGTTGTACCTGAGTTTGGCTGTGATAATGTCGTCAGTGTGCAGTGTTTATACGCGGTGTCATGCTAGCGTCTTGCATGACACGTCTAAATACACTTGTTCTAATTGCCCCGTGACGATTGTACGATTTATCCTCTTTTATAATTATACAAGACACTAATGCCAACGAGCGAGTTGTCCTAGGGGTAGGCAAAGCGGGCGAGAATGACCAGACTACTTAAGTCAAAACATGTTGGCCTTTATTACACCCTCCGGGGGCCGCCTTTACTGTCTGGCGGCCGCTGTTGCTAGCTGTGGCTGCTGCTGCTAGTGGCGTTTTTATGTTAACCAATTGCCAAAGAGTATTTTTCCTTGGACCAATTCAAAGCACTTAAATTTTTAGAAGAATAAGCTTAAATACACTCTTCTATCTACTTCTTAAAAATACTACCTTTTCTAGCTCTTCACAACAGCTTCCATGTTTTACACGGAGAAACTATCTCGAACCCTAACGCCAAGGCCCGCGTGAATCCTATTTAGGCCAGATGCAGCTAGGCTGCACATCACCCCAGACCCTTCTCGCTTGCTCCCGTCTCCCGGTCGCCCGCCGCCCGAGTCCAAAATAGTACAACTTGCACCACCTTGAGCTCCCACCGGCGAACGAACACCCACAACGCAGAATGGCCCCAAATCTGGCCTCTGTACTTGAGAGTTCATTCGCGACGTGATCCTGAGCAGATAACTGACTACGCCCACATCGCCGAGGCTGCTAGATGCAGCCCGCATAAAGGTGTCGCAGAAGGGTTGATGCCAAACTAGTTATACTGGAAGCTTATGCGACCATTTGGTCCATAAACTAGAATTATACTGAGATGAGATGGGCAAATTCTTGCGCAACGAATTTGGTTTTCTTGACAAGTTATTTCCTTTCCTCTCCTCTTCAACTTCAGCGAACTCTAGGGAGTTCCACCGACAGTGCAGGGTGTTCCATTCTTATACTCGGTCTCCATCTGGCAATCCTGGCCGCCGCCAATTCATATCTCTGTGGTTCTCCATAAACTGCTGTGCGTATTTCTTAACAGTCTCATACTCTGACCCCCGCTCTTCGTCCTGGATTGGTTGCGAAAGGGAGACCAAAGTGCACAATCCAAGGGTAACAATATACACAATGAAAACGTTCCTGCTATCATGCAAACCAGCATTCACATCGAGATTTCTAGTCCAGATAAATCCAAAGTAGACCCCAAAAGCGATAACCGCTGACAAAACAGACATGGCAAGTAGAAATACGGGGCCTGACATCGCGATGACAGGTGTAACACCTGGTGTAAAACATTGCCTCATTAACGAGAAGTCAAAAGATACCTGGCTCTGGCGATCGAGAGATTCTAGATCGAGCTCCTCGGGTTTGCAAGGCCGAATCACTTTGACTCGTGAGCTATACGAGCGAAACGTGAGAGGGAAACTGGTAGTAGAACCTCCCCGGATCCATGCCCGACTATCGTCCCCCGTTACAAGAGGTGCCATCACCATGTGTTGAGTAGCCGCGCAGCTAACGGAGCTTAGGGATGATATCAGGCTGAATACGAACAGCGCCCGAGCAACCCAGTGAGTTTGGCTGAGATCAGTCAAAGACAGTGACGTAATCGCGATCTGAGCGACAAGTGCTCCCTATTTTCCGTTAGTACGAATCAACCTCGCTATTAGTTGATGAAACCGACCGCTACCGCTATCATGGAACATTCGCCCTGCAGTGACTTTCTGAAGTCCAGTGCTTGTTTCTCATCGAGGTCCCCAATGACCTTGGCTTCCACACTCCAGACATTCGAGCTCCCGCATAACCCCACAGTAAATCCAGATACTACTCCATACAGATGGATGAGAGCCCAAAACCGCTTAAATACCCATACCCTCTCTGCTAAGAGCCCGTGTAACGTGATAATGTCGATGGTGAGGGTAATGAGAGGGCTAGGATCAAACAAAACCATGGTAGTGATAACTTTTAGATAAGCCACGTAAGATCCTTTATAAATCATGCTGCTTTTTCACAGATTAATATATATTGCGGAAACCCAAGTGTAACGTCATCGTGACGCATTTACTCGTACCTCGCTCCACTTTATTTGGAACTCGTAGAACTCGCACCACCTGGACACCTATATAACCGGATCACCCAAATAACCACTTTTTGCACCCATCTTACAAGAATCACGGTCGCCTATCACCCTTAGAATCGACTATTTCTACTCTTGCCAGTCTTTCGGAGGCCCTCCATTTACGCTAGCCCCACTTAGAAATAATATGATAATAGAAGTACCAGTAATCCTGTGAGTTACAAAGAGCTACATCGCACATATCGCAGCTGAGTGGCTGACCTTATTGCCAAAAAGGTACCCGCCAGGTATCGCAGAAAACTGGGGACCGATACCTGGCTGGCACCTTATCACATTCAAAGGGATGCGAGCCGAAGAAGATATGGGTGGGTCACTAAGCGGTGGCCTAACCAATAACAAGGTGGTGTACACTGCGGTTGCTCAGCTGGCTAACTTCTATTTAAAAGGCTAAAAAAAACATATAACACCTAGTGTTCGCTGGTCGTCACTGACCCAACTACTAATCTAGCGCTCGCTAGTCTATCGTATAAGATTAGACGGGATACCGCGTTTAAAATGTAAACTTACCTAACCTTTACCTAAAACGCTCGCTTAAACCCGCTTTTCCCGTCCTCTTCATTTCTCTATCTTACCACTATTTTAGCTCTTTAACCTAGCTTTTCACTTTAATATTAAAGCGCTAGGTAATAGACAAGACTACACGCCGCGTAGTAATACACACCCTTATATTACCTATTTTTAACCCTAGCCTTTATATAAAATTCTCGTTAAGCTTAAGGGAGGCGTGTAACGGTGGCTTAGGTTCTAAGGCTAGCTAATACGGTTTCGTCCCGTGTCTTATATAATATTATTTATAATATTATACCCCTTCTTTATTAGTCTTATCCTTAAGGCTATTAAAATAGGCTAGCTTAAGTGTTATACGTTTTCTTTCTTCTATTATTATATGCTATTATATTAACTAATCGTATCTAAAAATAGCGGTTTAAAGCTTTATTTACTTCTTCCCTTTACTAGAATAACCTTCTTTTTACGATAATTAATAATTTATCTTTATCCTTTATAAAGGCTTACGCTTATTACGCTCGTATAAGACTTCCCTAATATAAAGCCTTTATTTTTAATTTAAGTTATTATATAAAGTGTATAGTA